ACATTCAAGCCTAGGGCTTTTCTTGTATTGAGTTAGAACTCATATTTTTTGTATCCAAGTGTTGGCTTGGAAAGATGTAAGGCTGTAGGGCATTTTGTTCGATGTTACATGTAATGCTTTATTTAGTAATACTCTGATGAATGAATTAATAAATTGTCTTCTTTAAATAATGCATGTCAAAGATATTTAATGGGTAATTTTTGAGGGCGTTACAGTTTGAGAGGAGATAGAGGATGGACTCTCAAACCTATTTGGGAGGAAATAGGGGATGGACTCCATTGATAACTAAGTTGGCCGGAGTGTCCAGGGTGAAAGTCCCGAAATTTTAATTGCGTTTGCATAACGTAGATAATTGGAGTATTGGAAGTGTTTTTGACATGAGTTGTAGTCTCATTTGAATTGTGAATAAAGGAAGTGTTTTAATATGGGATGTAGTCTCATTTAATTGTTTGGTCAGGTTTTGAGCCATGTTTATGAATTGAATTAGTTAAGTAAAGGAAAGTGGAATGAAACATGTACATATTTGTCGTGGAACTGGATTGTGTTGTAAGTTGGTTTATAAGTGTTAGCCATTTATCAAATACTAATGTTTTAGTTATTGCTCATATCTGGTTTAGTATATTTCTACTGGGTATTGGCTCACCCTATATGGCACATCATTTTCAGGTTCAGGTGATATGCCACCTCCAAGGGCGTAGTTTGGGAGGCTTGAGGCTGATAGATCTTTTTGTTGTTCTCGTTTTGGTATTACATGTAAATTCAAGTCAATGGCTTAATGTGTATTTGAGTTAATACTCTCCTTTTTGTAACCAAGTGTTGGCTTGGAAAGTTGTAAGCCCATAGGGCATTTACTTTTGTTGTCAACATGTAATACTTTTGCAATCAATACTCTGATGAATGGAAGTATGCTTTATTCTCTTAAGTTTATGGATGTCATGAGTGTATGATTTATGTGTTTTTTTTTTTTTAGGGCGTTGCAATTAAAAAGCACCAAACAGTTGAACATGTATTATATAAACCCAAATTAGATTGATTCTAAATTATGGCTCTTGAATTAAATTTCCACGCATAATCCAAACATGCCCCAAATATACACAAAACTAAACCCAATAAGTTTTACCTCAAGTCATGATTTTAACATCAAATCTCAATACAAAATTCTGCTATAAATTAAACCAAACACTGTTCAATTTGTGAATTTTCAAAAAATAAATACTTATGCATAAACACTTCATAAAATTTTCATATTTGAGCTATACAAGTATTTTTAAAATTTTACAAAAGTAAGATATTCAACTTAAGAGACAAATTTCACCCTGAACTTGTGTAACAAATTAAAAACTGTGTTTCAATTATCATAAACCCAGTTACAAATGATCTTTTAATATTAAAAATAAGAAAATAAAAATAAAAATCGCTAATCACGTTGTGCAATAACCATTCAATTTAATTATATAATGATTTGATAAATATAAAAAAAAAATCCAGTCATTACAACTATTCACCAAATGAATCCACGGAAATTGAATTGACAATCTGTGTATTGTTGTCTCTTAGTCTCCCAAAGCACACTAACACCAATTTCCACCCATCAGATTTTGAGAAACAACATATGCTGGCTGCCAAAAACTATTGAGTAAATGACTAGTGACACACTAAAAGTCAAATGTATATACAAATAGCAACCAACACTCAACTATAGTGAATCAAATGGATCTCAAATTGTCAAATGAAAATGTCATTTTTTTTTTTTTAACAAATTGCCAAATTAAAATGTCATTTTTGGCCTTATTAACATGTGAGATGCAGAGAGAAGGTGCATGCATGGCCAAATATTGGCAATTGTAAATTTACGCTTCAATTTTTTGGGTAGAAAATATTTTTCTATGTTTGGTGGTGGTAGTAGTAGTGGTAGAATGAAGGTAGAGGTAGAGGTGGTAGCATGGTAGTGGGGCGTCGGTGACGGTGATAGAGACGGTGATAGTGGTGGTGGCCATGGTGATGATGGTGTGGTGTTGGAGGTGAGAGTAGCGGTGGTAGTATAAAAACTGACTTTCGTTTAAAAGTAAAAAACATTTCATATCTAAATAAGCTTGTTTTTTGTTGATAATAATAATAAAAATTCATTGACTTTCGTTTTCTATTATTCCAAACACAAGACAATACGAACCAAGCAAAAGATTCCAATCCAAGATCTTCAATATGGGAAACAATATCTTTACTGCTTAAATAGCACACAACATATTTATTTTTAAATCAAAATTAAAATTTATATTTTACAGATTTAACAAATACACTCATCAACTAAAAACACACCCACTAACATATATATATATATATATATATATATATATATATGTATATATTAACCTTTGATATTGTATCTGCAACTTCCCAGCATTGCGTAATGCATCAGCTTGACCAAAATTCACCATGGCTCCAAAAGCTACGCCCCTTAGATCAAATTGAAATGCACCGCAACTACATGACACAAATCAAAGATTGCTATAATTACTGAATTCCCTGAGCATATTAGATTTGACATACATGTCACCCAAATATATTTTGAAAACCATATATATGCTTATTAGATAGCTTAAATTAATGTATGAAAACAATGGAAAAAAAAATTAAAACAATGAAAACGTTTTTGGTGTTTCTCAATTTTAATGGGAAACGATTCTCTCCCATCCACAGTTTTACTAGTGGGGTGTTGTTGGGGTTTATAGTGCCACCGCATATCATATTTTGATAATTTTAAAAAAATAATAATAAATTAGATTCATTATATTTATAACTATATGATTTCATTATATTTGTTTAAAAAAACGAATCACAAGTATAATTTTGAAATTGTCCATTCATTTTTTTCACTGACTAATATGAAAAAATATATATGGATATAAATATGGCATTAATCTAAATTTTATCATATATGATCTACACAAAAAAAACTTTACAAATTGTGCAATTCAGATTATCAAAATATGACCTATAATGTATCTTATGAACCAATTATCACAGTTCTATTTCAACAGTAAATTAGATAGAACTCCTTCACATATTAATAATAAAAAGTAAAAAGCAAAAACATAAAAGAGGGCTTGTTTTCTTCAAATTTTAAGAGAGGCCTATGTAATTTACTCTAAACTGTACAACCAAAAACATATTTGTTTTATTCATTATTTGAGATGAGGGGTAGAGAGGAATATAGGTGTTTAGTTGTAAAGGGTGAGCTGTCTTGTAAGTGTGAATAAGAAAAGATAGGGTTTAGTTCTACGATTTAAATTTTCTAAATTCTTAAATTATTATTTTTACCCATTAGATTAAAATTTCACTATTGCTAATTTGCGGATATTGTCTCCAATTAAACCATATGAATTGAAATAAGAAATAATAAACGGATGCAACTAATAATTTAGGAATGAAGTAAAAAAACGTGACTATAGTTTACCGTATAACAAAATATTAAACTATTAAAAAATTCATTGAATATAACAAAATATGAAAATGTATTGAATTTTAATATATATATATATATATATATATTTGTAATTTTTTTGTAATTGGTGAATTTTTTATTTTTTATTTCACAAATATTATATTTTTTAAGTGTATCTAAATTAGATGTATTTAAGAAATAAAAAATTTGCGTAAAATATTTTAAAAAATCACTAAAAAGGAAAACAAAACAAAACAAAAATATTCAATTTTTTGAAAAGTGAATTAAACCAAACAAGGTAAACGTATTATTTTTTCATCCATATAACTAATGTTACTGATAAAAATAAGTTAAGTGTTAACCCACTATAATTAGGAGAGGTCGGTGTAAATTTACCGAACCAAGCACTTATTTTCTTATTCATTATTTGAAGCAGAGAGAAGCATGGTGTTTGGTTGTCCAAATTATAAAATTATTTTTTTAACTATTAGATTAGATTTTTAGCATTAATGATTTGGACAAATCGTCTCCAATCGGATTATATGAACTGAAATAATGAATAATAAAGACTAAATAGATGCAATTAATAATTTAAAAATGAAGTACAAAAAGTGACTATAGTTTAGAGTATAAAAGTAAATATATATATATATATATATATTAAAAAAGTGTCCAAGTCTTGTACCTTTTTCAATTGCAGCTACTAGAGTCAATAACAAACCTTTATGTTCGCTACTCATTTATTACGTCCATGATTTTATTTTTTATTTTTTTGCATGATGATTTCCAATCAAGTGCTTTGTATAAACATCAAAGGAAATAAACTAGCTTTATTATGTATGATACAAATAACTGCTAAGAAACTAAAAATAGACTAGATAAAAACTATAACCAAGCCATAGTTTTTCATGATCAAGCAAAAGATTGCAGAAATTCATTGTAATACTTACCAAATGACACCACTTGCATTGGCTAATTTCACCTTCTTCTGTTCGTGTGAGCATGCTTTTTAAATCTCTTTCTGCTTTCGTTTCGTTCACCTTCAATGATCCTCACAAGCCATTGAGGTTTTCCTCTAGAGAACATAAGATATCCCATAACAAGTCCCCACACAAGCCCACATATATAACCCGGTAATATGACTTCCCAATTGAATCCACTTGAAGTATTGTCTTCTTGTTGAAACATCAAGGATGGTGGTTGTGGTGTACTTAGATTGCATGCATTTAATAATGGAGGTCCACGATAAATCAATTGCAGTGAAAATGGTTAGGACTTTTTCCATTTCTATGGTTGATCCTTTGATTACTATAGTCAAACGATAGTAATATCCACCAGCTGTTAAGTATTCCAATTTAAAACTGGCTTCGTCGACATTCATCATAGCATTGAAATTCTTGAAATATTTTTCTGGCAATGGACCAGTAAAATAATTGTCTGACAAATCCATAACTCGCAACTTAAGGAAGGGAAATTTGGCTTTCGAAGTTGGCATGGGTCCATTGAATTTGTTAGATCTCAGTATTAGAACTTGCAACCATTGTAGTTTTTCCAACCACTATGGAAATTTGTCGGAGAACTTGTTACATCCAAGATCTAGCACTCGTAGATTTTTGCAATTGACTAAAGATTTTGGTATTGTCCCCTCAAATCCATTTCCATTAAGGTTGATAGTATCAAAGTGATTTCCCTTTACAAATGTATTAGGAATGGTGCCAGAAAAATTATTCTTCCCCAGATCGAGCACAGAGAAACCTAAATTTCCTAAACATTGTGGAATAGCACCATTGAAGCTATTATTAGACAGGACAAGAATTTGAAGGGAAATTGCATGACATAGCATGTCTAGCTTACCACTGAAGTTATTTGACAAAAGAATGAGACTAATAAGGCTCACGAGTTTGAAGGTTGAACTTGGAAACCTACCATGTAGGTTGTTATTGCTCAAATCAACATGAACTAAATTAGTGGATTTGAACTCTTTTACATGCCCAGTCAATTTGTTATTACGGATGCTTAATTGATTCAATGCTGGTAAGCTGAAGACCCAAGATGGAATTGTACCACTGATTAAGTTATCATCTAAACTTAACAACGTTAGATTTGGAAATCCAATTATTTGTGATGGAAGAGGTCCTCTTAGCTGATTATACGACAAATCTAACTCAGCCAGTGATGTTAGGTTTGCAACCAATGATGGGAATGGACCGCCGAAGTTATTCGAACCAATATCTAAATAATGAAGATTTTCACTGTTGGGTAAAAAATCTGAAATTATACCTTCAAAATTATTACCTGAAACTTTCAAGGAGACGAGATTTCCAAGGTTTGAAAGTGAAGACGGAAGCATGCCAGTGAAATTGTTATATCCGATGTCTAAATCAGTCATTTCCGTAAGGTTTCCGAGCGACGTGGGGATGGATCCATAAAATTTACAATCATAAGCAATCAACAATTTCAAGGACTTCAAATTCCCAATTGAGTCAGGTAGTTCTCCAGAGAAATTAGTGTGTGAAAGGTCCAAGTACTGGAGAGGACTGCTCGAGTTTATAAACTCGGGAAAATAACCAGTGAGAGCAATATTATACCATAGACGCAGCTCATTCAGATGTGGTAAATGGAATATTCCGACAGGAAATTTTCCAAGCAATCCACACAAACTAAGATCGAGAAGTGTTAAAGAAGTCAAATTCCCAATTGAGTCGGGTAATTTGCCATAGAAATTAGTGGATGAAAGCCCCAAGTACTGGAGAGGACTGCTTGAGTTTATAAACTCGGGAAAATAACCAGTGAGAGCAAGATTATGGAATAAACTCAGCTCATTCAGATGTGGTAAATGGAATATTCCGTCAGGAAATTTTCCAAGCAATCCACACGAACCAAGATTGAGAAGTGTTAAAGAAGTTAGATTGAGCAAGGAATTTGAAACCACTGAAGATATGTTTACATCTCTAAGATTAAGTTCTCTTACCTTGGTTAAGTTTTGAACAAGTAATTCAAATCCCGGTTCTTCCAACCTCAAATCATTGTAAGAGAGATCAAGAGAGATCAATTTGCTCAGGAAGGAGACTTCTATAGGGACTTTGCCAGAAAAACTAGAGTGAGAGAGGTTGAGGTGTGTCAATCTGGTGAATCGACTAAATTCAGATGAGATTGGAGACATACCAAAGTCATTGAAAGCAAGGTTGAGGCTTTGGAGGTGAGGAAAGTAGTAGAAGATGGTGGTATTGGGGTGGATGGTGCCGTTGAGCCAGCTGCAACTGAGGTCGAGGCCAATTACTTGACTTGTGTTGTTGTCACACTCGACCCCATCCCATGAGCAACAATCAGAACCCTCCTTCCACGACTCCATCTTCAGGTAAGAATGGATTCCGAAAATATCACAATAATCGGAAGCAGATTTATCGAAGGAAAATTGTTGCTTAAATTGGAGCAATGCAGAGGTCTGTTGTTGAGTGCAGAGTTGGGCATGCAAACAAGTAATCTGGAAAAAAAAAAGAAACAAAAAGAGGTGAAAGAGTTGATTGTTAGAGACCATCTTTGCTCCTAGATTCAAAAACAAAGGTTGTATTGTAACGCTTACTGACTATTAACAGGGGAGAGGCCAAATGCTTTATAGGCAAATGTAGGTGCAATGCAAAGCCTACAAACAAGTAAACTGACTTTGACTAGTCAGTCTTCATTGATAAAATGACAAAATGAATTTGTTGATTCATATTTTTTAGACAAAATAATATAAGACACTCACTACAAATTATGTGACTTTTACTGTAGAAATCATAATTTTGTTATGACAAAAAGGTGGGTACATAATTTTGTTATGACAAAAAGGTGGGTAATTTTTTAAAATAAGGATCATTGTATATTACTTGTTCTTTTTTTCATATTTTTATATCATCAGCTTAGATACATGGCAATGTATCATTTGTTTATATTAATTTCTTAATCATTATCTTCAAATAAAGTAACTATTAATAAGGTGGTTGATTCTCCCGTGGTAAGCTTTTTGACTAGTAGCTTGGCTAGGTGCTGGCCTTCTATTAAACATGGATGTGAGGGTATTCTACTTCTATTAGTTTCAACAGGACTATAAAATTTTGTATAAAAATTCTAATTGCGTATTTTCCATTTTTGTAATGGTACAAATATGAACCTTATTTGACCTTATTGTTTTGGCTCTTATTACTGTCTTGAATTATTGTATGCTAGTGCATGCATATATGCAGCTGAAGAGTGAAGATAGTGGAGAGACAAGTGGCAGCCATGCTTGACTACAAACCAGTAAATGAACCTCCTTTAATTATGGTTTTGTCTTCATTAATAATGAAAATGTATTTGTTGACTATTTAAATTGTGTGAATAATACACAAATTGTGATTAGTTTAAAATAGCAGAACCCATAATTTTGGTTGGGGTCAGTAGACTTTTAGATATAGAGCTCACTGTTCAGAACCAGTCACAATCTATATATTGTTTACAGACTTTGAAAGTATGTAAACAAAATCAGACTTATTAATAATTAATCATCTCTACAAATGTAATTTTGTCAAATATTACATATATAATTTGTCCAAATCTAGTACTAAACTCACTAATAATATCCGGACTTATTCGATTAGTATGATTAATAGTGAGAAAATTAACAATTTATAAAATTAGTGTAGAATTTCTTGTCTAGTTAAATTAGTGAGATACATAATTCTTTCTTGTACACGTTTGTTTTGCAATATATATAGAAACATATAATTTTAATTATATGTATGCTTTGTGTTATTAGGTATAGTATTAAAAAATATGTCAATTTTATTAGATAGAATGATTACTAAAATATAAATTGAATAATAAAATTTACAACCAAAACAATGCGAAGTAATTAATCCACCTCATTGTCCTACAAACAAGCCCTCATTTTCTTCTGTCATATTCAATTGGACTAAGCATAAAACAACCTTATTGTTCCACATGAAACTTATCTTTCTGTTTGTAACTATGTAATTTGTTATGTTCGTTAAAGGTTTATTCTGTTAAAAAATGAGATTAAGTAGGTTTTGCAAGTTTTAACACTGTGATCATTGATTATTATTATTATTATAAAAAAAAAAGGAGGGATAAATTATACTTTCACTCCTGAACTTTTACTCAAATTTCACTTTAGTTTCTCATTTTCTAATTGCAACTAAGTTGTCAAATTTTAATCAGTGTTTCAATGTGATCCTTCAATCACTCTTCTGTTTGAAATTTTAATCAAAGTTGAAAATAGTGAACCAAAGTAAAATTTTGATGGAAGTTTGAGAGAGAAAATTGTAATTTGTTGTACAAATATTTTCTCTAATTAATAACCATAAAATGTGTTCATGTGAGTATTTTTCACCTAAAAATTTGGTAAGTGACAAGAGGATCACACTAAAATATTAGTCGAATTTTGAGGACTTAATGGTTGTAGGAGAGGGTTCAAGAAAGGAGTTGAGAAATTCGAATTCTCTGGAATATGATAAGAGGCTTAGATTCTTCAATAATCTCAACTTAGGAACACAACAACAAAGGAGATGATGGAGATAAGAGATTGGGTGAAGAAGAAGGCAAAATGGCTAGAGAATAGAATAATGGCAAGGCTCTCCCATTGATCTCCCACTTTCACTCTCAAGGTTGATAATGGAGAAAGGGAAATTAGTTCTTTCCCAAGAATTCAAAAATCTCCAAAATCCCTCCCTTGTAAAGCTATGGGTGGGTGCTATTTATAGGCACCTCATGATGTAGGATGGAGCCCATGTGCAAGGCACATGGGGGATATTCTCTCTAACCACCTTGTCCGAGGTCTTTTCTGGCCTCTATGACCTCCCCCTTGTGAATTTCGGGTATCCGGGGCAGAGGCAGCAGCAACGATAGGTCCACGAGATGACTTGAAACTAGTCTTGTAACTGGCTTTAAATCCGGACTCCTGAGCCTGAGGAATGCTAATGTTCCGAGCTGCTTCTATTAATGCCGAGAAGGTGGGTAGCTTGTGATTAACTAGAAACATTTTGTACCTGCTCAATGCCCCTTCTAGACAAATTTGAACATCTGGATGATATTTTCGAGCAGCTTGCTTAATTGGCTTGGAGTTTGGGAACACATCAAGATAGTGGGAGACTAGGTCAGGATCTAGTCCGGGCATTTCCTTATATGACCAAGCAAACACATCTGAGTATCATGGATCTGTTGTAGTCGGAAGCTTGCTTCTTGTTGGCCAATACACCGGGCTAGGAATCCGGTACCCCCTCGGAAGTAAAGTTCACCTTGAATAATTGTGAATTGGGCAAGCTTGGCCATAGTCAATTTTCCAACTTTGCTTCTGAGTTGTTCGAGGACTTCTCCTCTCCAGTCCTCCGGAAGGCCTTTGTC